TATCAAAGTTTTGGAACTTTTATGTTATCTGAAACCCTTGGGGGTTAAAGTAGAATTAGTAAATATGTTGGGCCAGATATGGAATATTGAAAACTCAAGTCGGCCTCTCCGTCATCGGGGAAGGAGCAAATGAGAAAACAATCTCTGTCGTTCAATCCCCAATTCGAAACCCTAATCCTGTCGTTGATTCTCCGACAAGTGAAATTTGTAGACACTGCAGAGGATTCTTGTTGGGTTGATGAATTCAATCGAAGAAATGAGCCCTGACTAGATGGAGGAAGAGAACAGCAAAGTGAGACCCAAGGAGATTACCTTGTTGGTTGTGTTGAATGCTTGTAGCCATGGAGGGTTGGTAATGGAAGGAGTCAGATGCTTTAAGAGTTGGCTTCACGCCCAAAATTGAACATTATAGTTGTGTGGTTGATCTTTTGGGCAGTTAGAGGAATCATTCAAGTTGATAAGTAATTTACCTGTCACAAGTGATTCAACAGCTTGGCGTGCTCTGCTAGCTGCTTGTAGAGTCTATGGGAATGCAGAGTTGGGGGAAATTGTGATGATGAGATACATCCGGCTTCTTGCTGGGACACATGCTGTTGCAGGGAATTCACAAGGTCAACAAAAATCATTAGATAATGAGTTGTTTAAAGAGAAAAAAGAAGCTGGATACAGCGCCATTGAAATAGAATAGCGTCAGCAAATAACTGTTCAGAATGCAGCAATAAGGTAAAACCTTTGTATTTATACTTTCTTGATGGAGTATTCTGCGTTAGAACTGTAACATGTATAGAGAAAAGACACATCACTGCCCATTTTGCAATTCTTTCCTGTGATCTATTCTTTTGTTTCAAAGTAGCTTTGATATAGCTTCTAGTGCTCTCGTTTGTCCTCTCTTTCAGCCTCTAGCTTATAAAAAAAAAACATCACTCCAAAGGTTGCAACATGTCTTGATTTCTCTGAATGGCTTGCACATTTCTCGTTAATGGTCCTGGATCGAATTCAAAACCAACACGGATTCCAGAACTGAACCAAACAATCAGCAATAGCAGCAGCAACAACAGTAGCGCCAAGAAAACCGAGATGAGCAAGAACCAAGAACAACCACACATCAGGAACATTGTGAAGAGGAACAAGAGTTTACCATCGAGGTTGCGAAAATCGATCAAAGGTTGTACCTATTGAAGCTACAGAAGACATTGGAGAGATATCTAAAGAGCAAAAACACCGAAGAACTCATTGTGACCCGCAAATCCTGGACTTTCTTAGAAGATAACTTTGCTTTGATGAATGATTTCTCGATAGAAAACGCGGTCGGGCTTTGCGAGTTCAAGGGAAGAGAAGGCATAGATTCAGATTTCAACACTGATGGTTTCTTATTTGATGATTCTCTATGAAAAAGAAAAGGAAAGGCTTGTATAGGTTTCGATAACTCGAGTTAAATAGTATATACTTGCCAAATCAATGCTTTGGCAACAGTTCTGTTCCTGGATGATATTTTATCTGTTGGATAGTATGTGCAGGTAACATTTATGTACTCAATTCCAGATCAATCAAAACGTTGTTATTGAGTTCTATAGAACATGGTCGAATTCTGAGTTTTTTAAGCTCTTACACTCAACTCAGTATACAGAAGAGAAACCAATTGGACCATAAAAAGATCATTGTTACATAAGCCAAAACAATTGTCTTTTTTTGTTCGTGTGACTTAAGCAATACACAGAGTAGATCAAGCAAGAGAAGAGCATCCATGGCCAGACTCACCGGAAGTAGAGCCACCACCTTGGCCGGAATTTCTGGTCGGAGGAGGAGGGACGAGAACAAAACAGAGCTTTCCTCTACCGGATCGAAAAGACCAGACATGAAAGACATCGTGGACTTTAAACGTGTTCTTGGCAACTACATCGTTCCAACTATCAACAAAGACGTAGTTCCAGCTTCCACTCATCTTCCACTTCCTCAAATCAACGACATGTTTGTTTAACAGAGGATCAACCAAATCAACACGCACACCTTCTCTGCGAATCTTCAAAACCGATTGTTCGTATATGATTCTTGATTCCTCCTCCGTAAGAAAATCTGAGGTCACTACTTGGTTTAAAGGCATCGAGAGACGTGTCTGGACTCTATCGAGATCACTCTGATACAGTTTCTTCGCTATGATCAGCTTTGGATTGTATCCGTTACCTTCTCTCATCATCACGTTCAAGAGCCATTCAGGAGGAGTCGTTTGCGTGGACAACACGATTTTAGGT